AAATTAAGATATATTTTCGAGTGATGACAATTTTTGTTCGCATGTTTTGTTAATTCAACTTAACTGTCATATTCAACTTATATTTCTTTATTTTAGTCTGTAATAAATTCTTCTTAAATTGTTAACTCTGTGCAAATCAATATAACAAATAACAAATAACAAATAATTAATTGAAACATTGAAAGAAACCAACTTCATTTTTTTTAACTTGATACATTTTATTCCATAGATGGATCACACTTTCTGTGTTGTTCTTCTGTTGGTTGTCTTTGAAATAGAATGTATCAAGATAAAAATGAATTTTACCAACAACCTACAAAATAAAATTTCTACAACAATATTATCAATATATCATAATTATTCAGAAATCGTGAGATGCGGTCTGGTGTGATGTAGGTGTATAAGGCATCGGCTTACGTTAATTAAATTACTTAAATTACGTTTATGGTTGTTTTGTTCTGTATGTAATATTTTTGGATTTTTGAAGTCGAAGTGGTGTTGGTTTCAAAATGGTGGGTACCTTTTCACCTCAAAGAAGCCGACGCCTTATACAAAAATGTCTCTTCTATACCGATTTCCTTCCTCACCCCTTCAAAATCCAACGTATATAAACATAAAACAGCAAAATCTTTCTGGCTCTCTCAACACGACACGCAAGAATGGCACAATTACACAGAAGACAAAAACTTTGAGAGAGTAGAAATACTTTGATTGAATACAAACAATAGAAAAAAATAGCAATAATAGAAAGGGGATAGTCCTCGAAAGCTCGACGAAGGATTTGATTACTTTCTTTCTAATTGGCCTGATCCCTGATCGTTTTAAATATAACAATATATTAATCTATAATCAAATCGAAGATTGCTAACACTACACTAGAGCTAAGATTTGGAAAATGTAGTTTAGTAATCTAATTATTCTGCCTTTGAAGTAAGGCGATAATGTGGAATGTAGTTAAATTGGTGAATTCTGTTACAATATCCCACATAGGGCAGAATGCTGACGTAGAATGCGAATTTAAAAACTTCCAATAAAAAACAGGGGAAAAAACAAACAAAGGAAAATAACTGTTTTTGTTTTTTTTAATACGAAATTTGACATCCGAATCCTGAAATTCCAACACCAGGTTTCGTGAATAGCCAAATGAAACAGTCAATATATGTATTTACTTTCCAGATTTGTTTTTGGCAATGAACTCAGCAAAATATACAAAAGGGTTGCAAGTCATAGAGACTTGTAAAGCGCGTCTGGGTTCAGAGGAAAGATACGGAATCACAGGAAACCGGGGTTTGAAAGACCAGGTAAATGGCACAAGAGTGTGTGATCTCGAGGGTATTGGAGATATTCAGCATTTTATATTCAATTTATTTATCGAAAAAGCTCGTATGTTTGCACTCCATGAAATACATTATTTCGAAAACCGGATGCTCTTAAATCTCCCTCGGTATGAATCACAAATGGTCTTAAGCAGCTTAGAGATCCCGGGGATCTTGAATACATTTACATATTACATATACAGAAGGGAGTGGAAGTAATCTCAACTCTGAAAAGGGGCGTAGCGTTATTAAATTAAGTATGCCATTGATAATCAAGACGGATGGGCGGAGGATTGAAGTGGAGTGCCGGCGGAGTTTTCACTTAATTCAGCCCCGGCGAACACGCCGTCGGTTTTTGTTGATTAGCAAACAGCGGGAAGGGACCAGGGGCAGATCCTGGGATTAAGACGACAGTCGGACGGCCCGGGGGCGTGCCAGAGGCGGAAGATGGGGGCGTCGAGATGAATGACGGTGCCGGAGGGTGGAGGAGAAGGCGCATTGCGGGAGCATAAACATGACCCGAGAAGGGATCCAAGGCGGCGGGGGTGGGCTGCCCCCAATGAATACAGTGGAATGTTCCCCGGAGCTTTGGAAAGGGTGAGAACGCCCCCGCGAGCCTTATTTATGTAAACGACGAGCATTTCTCAGGGCAAACATCTTATTAGAGTGTTTGGAATTCTGGAATGGCCCGATGAGAAAATTATACAAACAGATATCTCAAACGTTTGCAGCTTGACGAGCTTCCTTTATATTAACTAAGGCAACTGATACAACAAAACAGGTGAAATGGTTGTTGGCGAAGTGTCATTTCCTGTAATTATTTTTTTTAAAAAAATCGAAAAGCCAATAACTGTCTTTGGTCTCTAACACTATTTTCCAATTGCATGACAGATTGTTCCAATTATACCGTAAAATTCTAAGTATTTTTGCTTTAGTTGTAGGTTGTAATAAACATCAGGTTTAATTACGTGTTTTGACAATACGATAAACAACCGTTTGTCATTACCCAATTTTACATTCCTATCAAGCCATTATTATAGACCCTAACAATATTTCCGCATAAAAACAACTAATTGGTTGACTTTTTTTTATCTTATTTATCTTTATTAGACCCTTTATTTCTCATAAAGATTGTACCAAATTGATAAGACGATATCTTCTATGTGTCATCGTAGAAAAACTAACAACGCAGACAACGTTTACTCATTTTCGCCTCTAATAAGTAAATAACATAATTTAAAATCGTAAATAATATCACAACGTGGAGTTAGTAAAAAAGAAAGTTTTGGGAAATAGTTAACCGACTTAGATGTTGTGAGATTTCTCCATGTTGTCCATGTGCTAAACCTGAAATTTGGTCTTTAATGTTTGGCTCTCCTATACTCGCTAGTTAGATCTATCAGATGCTTTTCGCATTTCGCCATTTTAAGTTTTGGATCTCGGTGACTTTTCTCAAGTCTCTATTATGAGGCCGTAGGAATAGAATCCGTCAAACAGAAATTTTTTAAGAATTATAACAATTACGTATGTGTTAGCATTTCTTGTTATTTTCTTAAATGGATATTTGGATAGTTCGATTTAAAAATATGTGTTAAATTATCAATCATTTGTATATCTGTTATTTATATGCATTACAACTCACTCTCTCTCTTTCTTCCTTCTTTCTCCCTCCTCACTATCTTTTTCTTTGATTCTCACTCTGCATCTCTCTCTTCCCCTACTATCTCTCTCTCTCTCTCTCTCTCTCTCTCTCTCTGTCTCTCTCTCTCTCTCTCACCTCTCACTTCTTCATTAATTTTAAGACAAGGTTTGCTGCAAAATTTGCTTCCAAATAAAACTTATGGCCAGTAATTTCTTATATCTTCATACGCTACATGTTACTATAAATAGGTGTATTCGCTACATCTGTAATCTACACTATGATTCCAAAATGTGTGTCAAATACAATAATTTTCCATTTTAAAAATTTATGATTTGATAAAATACAAAAGTTTGACTATTTTCCATGATATATAACAATACAAAAACCATTATATCTATTTTACGTTGTTTCTCACTTCAAAGTTAAAAAATACTTTTACACCTTCTCAAGCTCAAGCACAATAATTCATTCCTTCCTTAAATCTACAAAACTTCACAACGATTTACCCAATGTCATATAATCATGTAATTCCAAAAATATTTATAAGAAACATCTAAAAGCTTTTCTCTCATTAGATTATGTTCATACTTTGTACAACATCAATAATATTTAAAAATATATGTAGACATTAAACAATTATATTTGTATTATATGTATTCTGTATTTTGAATTACGCAAATTTTATTTGTATGTACCAATGCTGGTTAAATAATTATTTCACGAGACCTAATTTTTTGAGCTTTTATTAAAAAAAATGTTCAATTGCATTTAGTCTCTCTCTCTCTCTCTCTCTCTCTCTCTCTCTCTCTCTCTCTCTCTCTCTATCTATCTATCTATCTCCCTCTCACTCTCTCCATCACTCACCCTCTCTCTCTCTCACCCAATCTCCTTCTGTCTGCCTATCTGTATTTCTATCTCTCTCTCCCTTTTTCTCTTTCCCTCTCTCTTTCTCCCATGTATTAAGTGAAAGAACTTGTCCAAATAATGCCTAAGCAGCTTCAGCTGGTTGATAATCCACATCTGAATGACTAAAATTTCATTTTAATTGGTCTCAATCTCTACGGGGTTTTAGAGCAATTCTTATGTTTTTAAACCGCTCTCTCCTTGTTTGAGTGCAGGTGCATAATCGAAGCTTTCATAATTTACAAAATTCCCTGCATGTAAAAATGGTTTTATTAACAAATAATATTAAGAAAATATTTTTTTGTTTCAACTTTTCCTCGTGGTTTTTTAAATAATTTTTTTGTTTTATTTTTACGTTTTTGGAGTTTTCGGTAATTCATATCTTATTTTTTTAATATTATTTTTATTAAAAAATTATGAATATAAAAACGACAATAAAACTTTAAAAAAATGCATTTTACATAATAAATATTATAATATTAATACCTTCAAAGTGAATGATTCTCAGTTAAACAGGGAAATTCTCACGTACATAAGTAAAATGTACGTGAGAATCGTGGGTCATGATTCCAGAAGAAGACGGTTTAAATGTGAGCTTAAAGATAAACAGTGTATTAAAGACAGTAAAACATGCCCAGAGACTCTTTGAAAGTGCTGTAGTGATAAAATAGCATCAGGTTTCAAGTGATTCAGTAAAACAACGTGGGTGCTCTGCCCACTTCCAAGCTACATGCTCCAGGCCGTAAGAAGTGCTGTGCTGGTTTGTATAAAAAACTGCGGGGAGTTGTGTGTAACAGTCGGACATTGGTGTAAATCATGGCCGGTGCGGAGGGACGGGCCCTGTGGACACCATGCTGTGATACAACGCCTCCATTTCGATCATACCATCCCACTTTTATAAGAATTACACGATCATATAAAGCCGAAGCAAGAACTATTGAAAACAAATAAACATTATCCAGGGATAAAATGTCGAAGGAAAACACCCCCTGAAGGAGCTAACACAAAGGGGGAGGGGTGTTTAGTTAAATCTTATCTCTTAACGGACATCTACAGAGAGAAAAAATAAAAAACTGCTTCCATTTTAATCTTTTCATGGTTTTGATGGCTTGGCAGTAAAAATGCGCATCGGTGGCGTCATTGCCATTTTTATATCGTACAATTAGAGAAGGAAATTTGACTGAGAAGGGAGCCGAGGAAATGAATTTGTCATTAGAGGGGGGGAACATCTGGTGAGTTTCTTATTGGTTCTAGACCCTCTTGCTCAGCGTCTTGGTAACATCTGGGCAACCAGAATCAATTCCTAAGAACACTGAGAAAGGGGGCATTAATGCATTAATCATAAGGGGGATTTTAGACATAACCGAAGACATGGGCATCTACTTCATATACGAAACGTACAATGGACGATAAGAGATACGAACAGTAAGTATATGATATGTATCTACTTATTTAAAAATTGATTATTATCATTTAATCAACATTTCTAATATGGAAAAATCCAAGGCATAAATTATAATAAGATAATTTATGTAAACTCAAAAACATTTGTGGTGCATAAAGTAGAAAATGGGATGTTTTTATTCGCGTATGAGATAGTTGGCAATGCAAAAATTACAAAGCTTGGTTTTCGTACTTGATATTACATCAATAAACTTTATTCCGTATAAAAAATATGTTGATCAGTAGATGCTGTAACAAATATCACCTCATTATAATTTTCAACATTTTTGTCTGGAAAAACTCCATAAAATGGTTAAGCTTGAGACATAAATAAACGTGAAATTAAACTGGGGAAGGAAACGGATGTTGAAGTTCGTAAGGATGTTAAAGAACAATGCAAGATTTATCACCGTTCTTTGGCCGGGCAAGTTGGAAAATATAAAGCTCCACTGAGGTCGTTTGGTCGGGCAGAGAGGGTGAAATATTGATAAGAGTTTGAGTTTAGATAGACAGGGTAGTGGGAGGTTTATCTTTGGCATTTCCTTGCCATTGGGCAGATCCCCGCTAAATCAGGTGGCCTCTTGCCTCCAGGGACCGTTTTGGAATTTTATGTCTCCATCGGAATTGTACACGGTCCATTTAACTCGGCCAGGAAGGAGCCGTGGAGGAGTAAAGAGAAGTCCATTCTGTACAAAACGTCCATAAATAGCACTAGGAAGGGCGGGGGCGCATTTATTTGATTGGGACATGAACGGTTTCAATTGTTTCTATCGTTCAAGATCCTTTTGTTTTTAATTCAACAATTTGGGCGGAAAATCTTGTTAACGATGTGAACTACGAAGCAGTAAACATCCAGTAAAACAATATAATCCAAAATCACTTCGCAGTAATATTTTTACATCTTGATAAACTAAAACATATAAGTAGAGACCGGATTACTGTGTAATTGCACATTTTGTTTGCTTGCGTTTAACGTCTTCTAAACCATTTATCTACCCGTTTCATAACGTAAGGAACCATATTCTCAAATTTTGACTAGCACAAATTCGGTTTTCAGCGCACAATATTCATTGGTCCAATATCATCAGTTCGATTTTTTTAATTTTAAAGAAAAAACAAATCATTTTCTAAAAAAAATTGGTAGGAACTTTCTATGATCGCCTACTACAAAAATTGCCCGAGGGGCGTCGGTAGCCGCAACGATTTAGGCGTTGGCATCTCTGTAAGGTAAAGGTCCCGGGTTCGAATCCAGCGGCCCCGCATTCGAACCCTGCATACTTACAAATGGGCTATTTTTCAAAAACATGAAAACATCGGTACCCCGAGGGTTCGAATAACCTCGTAGTTGAAATACCCCCCCCCCCAAAAAAAAAAAAAAAACTTGTGAAACGAACGTATTTATTTATTTTTTTTTTTTAAATTGTTACATATATTGTCCCGTGAACAGACATCAATATTACAGGAGGTTATACCACATGTCGTTTGACTAAAAAGGCCGTATTGTCGAAAGTTTCAATTGTATTCACGATCACTTTTCAGAAAACTTCAACCATTCCCAAATTTTTTCTATAAAGCCCCACGTATGTCATATGTTAATCCTACCGGCCACCTAGCGGTCCTGGGATCAAATCCTGGCACAGTCCATGGGTTTTTATTAGTGAAAAATATGATGACAGTAGGTAGTTTGACGTTATGCCCACCTGTATCACAAGAATTAATTTTACTTTACTTTCTTATAAAGTGTTAACCTTTCTGTATGTTTTATTACACCAATGCAAAGAATATTGAAAGTCCTCCGGGATTCATTTGTTGTTTTATTGTTGCCTGAAGCAAACGAAACAAAATTAGTTGGAAGATTAAGTTCCGATTTTACAAAAGTATACTAAAGTTCAAGATAGATTTTCTTGGTTTCGTAAATCCTGACAGATATGGGACATACAGAAAAGTTGTCCCTGCTAATGAGTTTTAACAGATGCGCCTATTTTCTCAAAGATAAGTTTCACCAATGAAATATTAACATTTAATCGCTAAAGAATTAGTTTTACGGTTAGGAACGATTAAAAAATAGCTTTCAAAATTAATAACTTATATTTAAAATATAATGAAAAGAGGTTTTTGGTATTTATGTTCAATATTGTACCAATAAGTCTGTTTTGAATACGTGAATATTACTATCGTTGGGTTTTAATAGTTTTTTTCCCATCCACCTCCCCGCCGTACCTTTAATAGTTGTTAATCTTAATGAAAATCGTAAATTGTTAACAATTAAACCTTAAATTTATATTAGTGATAATGAACCTTGAGGATTAAAGCACCCGTCAGTGTTTACAGAACCATAAGAACACGTTACTTAAAATCTACACAAGAAATTCATAAACTTGTAACAGATGCAATTTTGTGTGATTTTGTATTTTGTATTCTTAAGGTTACTATAGAAAACAAATGAATATCAACGGGTTTTCAGTGCTGTTCTTATTTATTTTATTTATTAACTGTAAGATTAAACTTTTATGAGATGTAAGGAACTTTATGGATTAAAGTTGTGAATGGTTGAAGTTAAACGAAAAGTTCAAATCTTGAAACAATGAGAATCTGACTTTGGATATTAGAGACTTTGTAGTCCAATTGGAAATGTAAGAAAACCCCTAAGTATTGACATCTGTTCACGGGACAGCCTGTACACATTTTATTTATTTATAATGTTTCTAAAAATATTTTTTTAATAAAGGCACATGCTTTTAATATTAAACAAGGTTGGATAAATTTTCCACCTGTTAATATTTATTGTAAATTCACCACAAAGTAGGCTTACTGCACGTTTTAGTTATTATGTACTTGTTTTTACTCATTTTAGGCTGCTTTTTGAACATTTTTTAAGTTTCCACTGCACAAAAATCCGGCCTCTACTTGTGACTAATGAAATAAAAACGATTATGTAAACATTAAACCTTTTATGAACAAATTAAGGGCTATTTAGAGTAATTTTTAGTAAAAGTGTTAGCTTCTCAGTTTTGTCTTAAAGTTCTAAGACAGATACATTTTTATCCATATTACATTATTTAATTTTTTTGTGTCTGTGGATTCGAATCCCGTCTCTGACATTGCCCTTTCCACCTCAAATTTCTTGAATACAATTTTTTTTAAAGATCGAACCAAAAACCATTAATCAATCAAAAGATGTAAAATAACAGGTTATAACCATCATAGATAAAATATCAACCACTTAGGTCATTATTAACCAAATGATTCGGCCTCGTTCGATGCTTTATTATCTTATTAACTTGTTTAATTTTTTGTGTGTGTTTTGAAAACACAAAAGATAAAAATGGCCGTTGGATAAAACTTATCTCATATGAAAACTCAAACATCCTCTAATTTATGAGTTTTCGTTTGGCCTTTAGCAATTCCGCGCGCCCTGCTATCAGTGACCCCTACCACCGCGCTGCGGTCCCCGAACCACCACCGACTATTCTCCACCGCCTCAATAAATCCCTCGACAACACCACAAACCACTACGGGGGCGAGATAGCGGCTAAAAGCACCCAGTGGAGATTTACAAGCGGTGTCTCGCCGTAACAAGAGAAATCTGAATCATGGAAATGGCCCAAGGGTTCACGACGTTTTCTCCCGGCCTATACTTCAGAAAACAGCACCAATATTAAACCCGTCCACCGTTCTGTTTGTTTTATACGAACAGAAAATAACCTGACGCTCTTTACGAGTGTACAACAAGACTATAAAGTCTAAAACTTACTTTTATATTTAGCGGGACATATGCTAATAACAGATGCGTTTGAATTTGCGTTTGAACACTCGTAAACTTTTATTTTTTGTCTACTTTCTCATGATCCAAAAAGGTTTGATCTAACCCTCCAGGAAAGCGGGTATGAATAGAAGCTTAACTATTTCAAGTGGCAATATATATACAATTGTTTAACTGTTTGTGTCCCTAAATTCAAAGGTTCAAACGGTTTTTAATGTTTTAGATCTTAATTAGTAAGTAATAACTAATAAGTAATAGTCTTAATAAGTAGTAATTAATCTTACGTAAGTAAATCAAGTAATTTTCAAAAACTTTTTCGAAAATTCTCGGACTAATTTAACGAATTTATTTATATTTTTAATTACTGATTATTTGGGGATCGAGAGGTGCAACATTGTTTAAATTCACTAGTTTTCGTGGTCCGCTTGACCAATTAATATCTTTCAATTAATTAAGGTTTTTAGTTGAGATAAAAATAGTCAGTGTCATGAGCGGGATTTGAAAAATGGCAAAAAGGAGGGAAAATTCAAAAGGTGGGGTTGAGGTCACGATAGCTCAAGTGGTAGAGTAGCGGCGTATCTAGCCGAAGATCGTGGGTTCGAATCCCGCTCGTGACAATGCCTTTTTTATCCCAACTAATAAATTAATTGAAGAATTGTTTAAATTATACAAATAAATGTAAGGTTGGTAAAAATGAATTTATACTATACTAGATATTTTAGACTCTATCAAAGAATTTGTACTCACTCAACGTTTATAAATACGAGGCCCTGAAGATGATCACAATAAAGATCGAAACGTTGGCACGATAAAGAAAATGTTTTTCTAAACCTACGTCACACCAGACTGCATCTCACGATCTCCAAATAATCATCAACTAACGGTCACTAACACCACACATTTTTAATTACTAGTAAATCAATTGCTCATGATACTGAAAGAAAAACTGCGACACAATTTTCATACAATGACATCGATTAGGACACTCGAGTAGAGTAGAAGATGTAGCGCGATTATTCAGCCGGGTGCAAATTTCTGCCCACAAATAAAACGTTTTGTTTGTCAATTTTATTTAAAAAAATTGATGCGGAGTTAAAACGATAAAATATAAATTGGTGATTGGTTGAAGAAAAACAATGTTCTTAACTTCATTTTTGCGAATAACATGCGAAAGGTTTCTCCAAATGAAAACCCATTTGCACCGTTAAATTCAACGTCC